GGCCATTATTAGGAGCAAACGGCTCCTCCCTGCATGTGCTCTTCAATTTCTTGCACAGTCCGAGGGACTTGAGTCATCAGTTCCATTCCGTCAGCAGTCACAATTATGTCATCCTCAATACGAACCTGGTATGAACATAAAAAATTGAATTTCTAGGATGACAAGCCCCACTGCCCTTCCTGGCCTACAAGTGGTCTCAGGCTAGACCTGTGTAAGTTTATATCTTACCCCTCCAGAGCCTCGGTACTCTTGCAGGACCTCCACGTTGATGAAGTGAGCTTGTGCTGAATTTCTTAATGCCTCATCTAAAAGCTGGGAAATGAATGGAAATCATTTGAATCGAACTACATCCTTATTCACAGACAAAAAATGCACAAGTGAAAAACCCCTTTGGCTAGAGACCAGGTCAGTTGAAATAAAATGAAATAAAAACACAATGAAATAAAAACAAGAAAAAAAGCCAGAATTTACATAATCAATGAAATAGATTCCAGGTTCAACTGTCAGCACCATATTCTCTTCAAGATTTCTTGCTGTTCTCAATGATCGAATACCAGGCTCGTCGATTCTCTCCACACCCTAAAATAGTAACAAATAGTGGGTAATAAGGACAGACAGGGAAAACAGGGGTGGCATATTGCTACTTGTACTTACCTCAGGGTACCCCCCAACATCGTGCACATCTAGACCCATGAAATGACCAAGACCATGGGGCATAAATACAGCACCCATGTGAACTTTTACCATGTCATCAACATTGCCTTTCAATATGCCAATTTCTTTTAGAGCTTCAAGCTGCACCCTTTCTGCAAGACGATGCATATCAGGCCAAGAAATACCTAATAAAAAATTATCCTTGAGGTTTAATTGTGTGCTGTAATTATATGTATATTTAACATAATTCATCCATTAGAAAGCCAAAGAGACTTATTTCTGCCAACAATATAGTAATATAAGTATGGCTGCATATTTGTTTGTGTTATTCAAACCTGGTTTAACTTGTGCCATAACAGCCCTGCTTGCCCGAAGAACAGCCTCATAAATATTCTTTTGCTTCTCTGTGAACTTCCCGTTGACTGGGAACGAACATGTGATATCAGAACCATAACAGTAGTACTCTCCGCCCATATCAAATAGACTAGAAAACATTGTTCAAAATTAGCAACTTGAATGCTTTAGCTGCAATGTCCAATTTGACAACTGCTTTGATATAAAGGTGCAAGGCAAGGTGCATATATCACATACCACATATCTCCACTTCTTATAGTGCGATCATTAGGAGCTCCAGCATGACCATAATGAAGAACAGCACTATTTGGACCACTAAATAAAATCATTAATCATGTATTCAACAAACTAATGTGGTGCAATATTTTTCAAACTAATGTGGTAATATTTTTCAAACTCATATAGTTTATTTAACACACACCTTGCACCAATGCAAGTATATGATGAATGTCTACATCCTCCACGAGAATAGCAATGATTGAGAAACATGCTGAAAATAAAACAAAACTGTTTTAGCCATTTTGGAAATTCAACAAATTTTGCTCATGATTCTGGTCTTTTCTTACCTCTCAAGCTGAAATTCCACCATGTCAGGTTTTATTTTTCTCATAATCTAAAAAAAGGTTAAATGATTTGAAAACTATGAATAAATAATTATCTGCACAAAACTTATCTATTATAGAAAACTTAGATAATATACTTTAAAGTATACATTGCTAAAGCTAAACAATTGTATGGCAAACTTTCAATTTACCTTTTTATGTGCCTCACTGCTGACTCTGTTCACATAACGAAGAACCTCCAATTCTTGCTTTGTTTTAATTACACGACTGCAATAAAACAAAAATTTGCTTAAAACTGTATGTGACTTCATAAAAATGCTAGGTTTTCAATAATAATTAAAACAGGGTTAATACTTTGCTTACCACTCAACAATTTGTGGGAAAAGTATTTTGTTGTCAACTGAGAAGCTAAGAAAATGAATTGAAATGGTTTGATGATCTTTTAACTAGTGTATTCCTTTTCCAACACAACAGTAGTTTTATACCTGCCAATGCCATCAAAAGCAGCCTCACGACAATATTCCCCACTGTCTGTGTTTTTACCATACTATAAACAGGTAGAAAGCAAAAAAAATGATGAAAAACTGGAGATGGTTACCAGACAACAACCTTTTAACCAAAACAATAGAAAACTTTTTCGCCATACCAGAGTCAACAGCACTGATGGTTGTTTCTTCTCAAGAACAGCTGCAATCTAAAATTAAAATATTTGACAGATGAACACCAATCCAGCTCATTTTATAATATATACAAGAAATAATAAACAAACCTCATCTGTGTAGAAAACCTCATCGACTTCATACTTCTTTTTGAAATGCTCAGGTGGATAGATACTTCATAATCAAAAGAACAATAAAATATTCAAGATTCTAAAACAGTTTTTAAAAATAATCACCACTGATTGCCAATACTCACGTTCCTTTCCATGTAGCATACTCTTTAGGAAATCGTGGCATAAATAGCATTGATTTACCACTATCCACATCAATTGCCCCAAAGAAATCGCCTTCTAATACACCAAACGTCCAGTGAAAGTAGGACTCCTAAAGTTAAGTATTTCAACTCCATAAAACGAGATTACAGATTTGAGATCTCCAAAACTATATATCTGCGCAAATGCAGATGCAAACCAGAACACTTTATTATTTAATAAGAACTAAAAGAAGTTCAAAAGTATTTAATTTAATTAAATAAATTTTATATTTTCTCTTTCTTTAAAATGAGAGTCGATATATACCTGGCGAAAGACAATTTCTGCATCAGTATCATCTCGACACTTTTCATCTCCGCCTTGTAGGAGAACTATTGCTCCTTTTTTGAGATTTTTTAAACCTTTCAGCCTCTCACAAAGGCGTTTACGATTTGTCGTGTGCAAGTTCACGAACACGCGAAGCCCATCAGGGCCGAGTTGAAAATAAGATCTGCAAGAAAACGTGGAAAAAATTGAGGATATTAAATTGGACCTGTACAGTAGGAAGAATTGTTGTAATTTCTGCTATAATAAATTACTTTCAATTTACCCTTCTTGTTCAGCCATCACGAGACAACACTTCGTGATGCACGTGAGATATCACATGTGAATTCTCGAGATTCTAGAAATCTCGACTGTTTCCGAACAATCGACGAATCGTTACGACATAAATTAGCATACTAAATTTACCACACTAATTTCTACACAAATATATTGAATAATTATCATATCGAAGTAAACAAAATTTCAACTAGATGCTTGACAACAGCCAGAGGCGTTTCGTTGCAATCATTTGTAGTTTTTGACGGTTTAAGGCCAGTGGATAAAACTTGAAAGATGGATAAAGATATAGATGACCTTCTCGATGAAGCAGAATTGAAATTTTGTAAAAATACCGGCCCGGCAAAAACTACGAGTAAGAAAACAAGCGCTAGTGCAGAGCAAAGCAGGTTGGAATAGTAAATATGTTTCGAGTGTATATGAATTATAGAACATACGTTTACCTAAAAGTATTAAAATTTATTTGGATGTGATCACTATGGTCTATAAAAGCTATTTTGTGTCAATACAAAATTCCCCCCCTTGTCCCCCCCCCTTGCACCGAATAAGGGTTTGGTACAGGGGGGCATCAGGGGACACCCTGCCTAAGATATAGTCGCCCATATTATTAGAGGTTGCCTCAATCAGCTTCCTATAACAGGGAATCACAGGGAGAAATCGACAATTCCTAACGGGATGGTTTTAAAATTTATGTCCTGAAAAGAAATATATTACAGTTGGTCATTGCAGATCTATCACCTTCATAAGCTTATTATCACTGTCTGGTAGGTCAATAGGTCCGAATGTAAAAAGGAAGGATCAATCTGACCTAAATGCTATGATTGACGATATATGTACAGATGATGGACCAGTGTACAAGGTAAAATAGAAAAATGAACCCACATACAAATTACAAAGACAGCTAGAAATTGGATAAAAAAAATGGTTAATAATATATGTATGGTCTTCAAAGAAGACAAAATACTAATTTTACCAATTGTACCATAATTTCTTGAATTTAATAATCATAGCCACATTCATCTCAGAAGAGCAAAAATGATCAAAACTCTCAAACTTCAAACAAATCAAGAAAATGTTATCCAGTTTATCTTGGAGGAAGTCGACATGCAAGTGGTATTTCCAGTGCATCTGTTCAAAGGTACATAGTGCTTAGCCCAGCCCTTTGCTATCAAAACTGTTGAATTTTACAGTTTATGTTTTGCTTCGTAGGACATGTAACCAGCTACGTTGCACTTCATGTGATTTTGAAGTGGTTGCATTCGACAACTATCAATGGCATTCATCTTGTGATTATTTATTCTTCCGTAATAATATCCCAGACTTTAGCAAGTTAAAAGTTAATCTAATACAAAAAAGAGGTGAGATAAAAAGCAAAGTGATTTTTTACGTCTTAGTTAACAATTCCACTCACTTGATTAAATTCTCAGTTTCTTATTAATTTTGTTGGCTGAGATGCAAAATATTGCTGTTCAGAGTGAACCTTTATACCTCAACAAATTACTACCTTGTATATTCCCAATAAATTACTTCTAAATTCTAGTAATCGTCATTCAATTCAATTCATTTATAAAGATCAATTTGTTTTATCTAGGTAGTAGGGCATATGCTTGCCAATGCGCATGGAGATCTGTGAGCGACATACAGAATATTGAAACAGAATCCGAATTACGATGGGTGTGTGGAAAACATATCTAGATAGGATTACAAATATACCTGAAACTGTATAAATATATCTACAGGCTACAAAATATTTATATCTAATTTAAAAAATAACATTCTAGACACTGTCAGTTGAAATAGTTAATATATTTCAAATATGTTAGTTGACAATTTGCATCCGCTATATCAAGAAACTGTGAGAATTATAGAACTAGAAGTAAATTAAAAATACTGAGAGATTCATTTTAATTTATTTTCGGACCAATAGTATCCATATATTCCATGCCGTCATATATTATACAAGTTACAATGTGTATTTGACACTAGGCAGTGAGTGAAATTTCATTTCAACCAATCTTTTTACAAGATTTATGAAATTTTGAATGTATTCCAATAAATGTGAGAATACCTGGACATATTATGATTGGAATGCCACCACCAGATACACTCATCCATCCAACTTAATTTTCAATTCATGCTACAATAGAAAAGGATATTATTCATCACAGACATCAACAATGTTCAATCACAATTAAACAACATGCTCAAATTGTCTGCTTCTGCACTGTTTTAAAATCAATATATACGAGATGAAAATAAGAGTTCTTGGAGTTGGATGCTTAATTAATAGCTTGCATATATAGAAAAGATGTACAAATATATATATACCTCTCAATTAATGAATCTCTCATTGTTGTTGCGATGCTTGATGGCTGTGCATCACCAAGTTTGAATACACTTTCAATAACAGATAGTTCAGTGCTGGTTGTATCGAGCCCGCAGAATGCACACCAGTCATTAACAACCATGCCAGCCCCAATCACTTCACTTCCACGATTCACAGTGCCTGCCTGTACATGGAAAGTTGAGAGTCATTGCAAAACATCTTGTGAATAAATGAACACAGAAAAGATGGTATATCACAATACAGTACCACAAGAGGAACTTGTAATAAGGATGACAGTTCATCTTGATCTTCAACTGGCGTATGGGGATGAACCTTGATAATTTAACATTCGATTAGTCTACAACCACAGCCTACTAGTGGTTCAATTGCAAAACAACCCATTCTACTGAAGAGTTAGGATCATAAAGGACTTTTCAAATGACTGTAATAGCAAGACATACCAGGCCACCTTGGTTGGTGATAGCACAGTAACTGCCTGTTAAGACATTGCCAGCAACGGTTTGACGAAATACTTCAACTTTTAGAACATCAGCTAAAATCTCTTCTGTTTCCTGTTGATTAAAATAGATGAATCTTAGTAATAACAACACAATCCGAGATGGTTTCTTATAAAAATACATTGCACATCTCATATACTCATATACATGGTTAATGTTTTCTTCCACAAACCGTAAAAGTTGGTTAAGATCATAAACCTCTTGAACTCTAAATTACTAACAATATTTCTCTCTACTAAAGTAATAAAATTCAACAACACATTAACTTACTCTATCCAAGTCAGGATGTACAAGAGCAACATAATCATTACAAGCGACAACGTTTCCCAGAGCAGACAGACGTTCCTCCACCCTCTGTATTTTCACACTGTCTGGCAATGAGTTACGAATGTGCTGCAGCTCCTGAATTAGAATAAGATGTGTTATCTTCACCTTCGTCAGATAAAATAATAAAAAAAAATTCTAGCCAATTGTTGAAGCAAATTTCAAAATAACCTGATCTGTCGTTGTGTTGGGGACTAGTAAACCATGTCGATTACCTGTAAGGTTTGCAATAAGTCAATTATGACATCTCAACATTTTATTGAATTATTTCTGGTATTTTTGCAAATTTTATAGAACTAAAGGGGTTGCGACCTAAAGGGGTTTCGACTTAAAGGTTAATCAATAACTTACCAATAGTTAATCTACCAATAATTCTGCAACCAGCAATTGATGAGCGTATCACTGGTATTACATCGGACAATTCCCCTTCAAATACACTAAAAAAGAAAAATTTACCCATTAAAATATTCACATCAAATCCCACCAAGAAATTATCTTGATCACGTGGTGAACAAGAGAAACTTTCCCAGAAAGGGAAATCTGTACATTTAATAATTGCAACATAGAGTTTTGTTCGTTTTTCAGAAGACAGACATTTCTAACAATAATCTAACATCTCACATACCTATAAAAACTCTGGGACGCGCCAATACCAACTAAGCAGTAGGAATTGGTCAACTTTGAAAAGACTCCAACTTCGTTATTGTTCTCAAACTGAGCGCGAACTGCCATATAAGTATTTAAAAATCCGCTTGACAAACGTGGAAACTCCTTGAAAGTATGCTGTACTGTTTCCCTTCCTTTTATACCGTGATTTACGGTTCTGAGAATCTATTTTTGGTATCTTACAAAACGTTCCGCATTTGTATTGCACCAAATTTCTCCATTGCACGATGTTTTGCAATACCATGAGCCCACTATTCCTCCTGTAGAGAACGTGGTGTTGTCCGCATAAAATGGCCGGAGGACTTGTACGCCACAGGCCTTGATAGGTAAACTTTGAACATGGTATATTCAGCCATGGTCGAGCACATTCTCGACCACAAACGGACTCGACCATGGTCGAATTAGTCGTTTTCCGGCGAACTCGACCATGGTCGAATTAGTCGTTTTCCGGCAAACTCGACCATGGTCGAGTTAGTCGTTTTCTGGCGAACTCGGCCATGGTCGAATTACTCGTTTTCCGGCGATTACGACCATGGTCGAATTCGTCATTTTCCGGCGAACTCGACCATGCTCGAATTAGTCGTTTTCCGGCGATTACGACCATGGTCGAATTCGTCATTTTCCGGCGAACTCGACCATGCTCGAATTAGTCGTTTTCCGGCGAACTCGACGATGGTCGAATTAGTCGTTTTCCGGCGAACTCGACCATGGTCGAATTAGTCGTTTTCCGGCGAACTCGACCATGGTCGAATTAGTCGTTTTCCGGCGAACTCGACCATGGTCGAATTAGTCGTTTTCCGGCGAACTCGACCATGGTCGAGTTAGTCGTTTTCCGGCGAACTCGACCATGGTCGATTAGTCGTTTTCCGGCGAACTCGACCATGGTCGAGTTAGTCGTTTTCCGGCGAACTCGACCATGGTCGATTAGTCGTTTTCCGGCGAACTCGACCATGGTCGAGTTAGTCGTTTTCCGGCGAACTCGACCATGGTCGAATTAGTCGTTTTCCGGCGAACTCGACCATGGTCGTTAGTCGTTTTCCGGCGAACTCGACCATGGTCGATTAGTCGTTTTCCGGCGAACTCGACCATGGTCGAGTTAGTCGTTTTCCGGCGAACTCGACCATGGTCGAGTTAGTCGTTTTCTGGCGAACTCGACCATGGTCGAGTTAGTCGTTTTTCCGGCGAACTTGACCATGGTCGAATTAGTCGTTTTCCGGCGAACTCGACCATGGTCGAATTAGTCGTTTTCTGGCGAACTCGACCATGGTCGAATTAGTCGTTTTCTGGCGGAATCGATTATGGTCGAATACGCCATTTTCTGGCGGACTCGACCATGGTCGAATACGCCATTTTCTGGCGGACTCGCCCGTGGTCGAGTCAGCCATTCTTTGGTGGTTGTCTAATATTTTCTAATGTTGGTTTATCAAGTTGTCCTTATTTACATTTTCTCGCGCGACGTTTGGCCACGCGGGTAATAATCCATGTCCTATGTACACCAATATACTGCAGGCACATAGGGATATATAGGGGGTCTCCAAGGTATATTGGTGTATACAGGAGTAATATTATCGCCACGCGGGACACACGCAGCAATTACAAAACGAAATGGCCGATGTTTCAAAGCTTCGTGGAGTCGCTTGTAAAACAATCGACGATACTTCAGCTGAACTCAACAATATAAGCCAGGAAATATGGAAACATCCTCAGCAAAATTTCGAGGAAGTATTCGCGCACAATCTTTTAACAACGTTTTTAAAAGAGAGAGGATTCGAAGTGACTCCTAAAGTTGCCGGTCTGGAAACCGCGTTCAGAGCTGAGTACAATGGTGACATGAAAAGTCCCCGTGTTGGTATAATCTGCGAATACGATGCGTTGCCAGAGATAGATCATGCATGCGGTCATAATCTCATCGCAGAAGCTGGTATTGCTGCCGCTTTAGGTAAGAATAAAAATCGAAGGAAATTAAGTAATCATGTGGTAGTAATTATGCCATCTTAATTGCCACAAATTCAACAATGGTGACTGACAATTTTAGTTTTAGTTGTTGTTAAAGGCGCTGTTACACTATGTAACTTTCCTTGCAACTTCCAATGCAATTCTACTCCTGAAGCATCTGAAGTTGACAAATACGAACATTTCTTATAATCCGCTAATGTTTCTAAGAATTTTGGAACCCTCCTTACTAATTAACATCACTCAAAACTATAGTTGCAAGTTGCAAGGAAAATTGCATAGCGCAACAGCGCCTTAAACCAACAGTTGTGTATATGTAGTTTTCTATTGTTTTTGTGTGTGTTTTTTTCAGGAATAAAAGCAGCCATTGAAGCCTCCAACAACACTCTTGGCAGTCTTGTTGTGTTTGGGACACCTGCAGAAGAGGGTGGCGGAGGGAAGATTTTTATGATAGATGAAGGATGCTTTGATGATGTTGACTTTTGTATGATGGTACATCCGACTGCCTTTGATTCAGCCACTCCCTTGGTTCTAGCTTGTCAGCATATGCGTATCAGATACCATGGTCATGCCGCCCATGCAGCGGCGTTTCCTTGGGAAGGTGTAAATGCGTTAGATGCCGGAGTGGCCTGCTACACCTCTCTCAGCATGTTACGACAGCAGATGAAGCCAACATGGCGCGTCCATGGTGTGTTCAAAGATGGTGGTGTGAAACCAAACATCATACCAGATACATCCGTCTTGAAATACTATTTCCGAGCCCCAGACAACGAGGAGCTTGTCGATTTAATGGCGAAAGCAAAAGGATGCTGGGAAGGTGCTGCAAGTGCTACAGGTAATTTTCCCAGTCTTGTATTCAATTCTGGAAATTAAACATAATGATGGCCTCCTTGAACAACTTAAAGGTTATTGTTGCACAGAACATATTATGGAATGTGTAATTAAATTTATTATAGGTTGCACTGTTGAAGTTGAGTGTCATGGATATGGGAAGAACAATGTAAATTATGCTGCTATGAAACATAACCAAGTTTTAGCCAAGTTGTACCAGAAATATGCTGAAAGTTTAGGAGTGAAATTTCTCCCAGAAGGAGAGGCAGAAAACGCATTGCTTGGTTCAACAGACATGGGAAATGTATCCCTTGTTAAACCATCTATACATCCTGCATTCACAATCAATTCCCCAGCAGTGATCCACACGCATGAATTCAAAGATGCAGCTAGCAAACCTGAAGCCCAGGCAAAGGTGTTAATAGCTGGCAAGTCAATGGCGATGACATCAATTGATGTTTTGGCAGACACTCAGCTTTTAAAATCAGTAGTTGAAGAATTTGAACAGAAATCTTAAACATTTTTTTATTATTTATTTGTGTGAATTGATTTATTTATGCGTTCAAAAATGATAGATTTTATACTTTAGGCTATGGTCACATACACAAAAAAACTAGAAAGTCCTTTATTAAATTGATTCTTTAATTGCATGTCTAAAGGTGCATTAGGAACATATATCAAGAACTTAATGGTGTTGAAAACATTTTGGGAGATTTTGTCCACAGCATTTATACAAATTATATTTTTACATTTTCATTCAACATCGTGTTTTAAATAACTATGTAAATGATGAAGTCCTGTTTTTATTCGACAATTTCAGCTCAGCTAATTTCCTTGTATTTGTGTGATTAACTTTTAATTAATAAACCTTCAAACTACCATTTAATTCCTAGAGCAGTGACATTTTTCTCCACAGCATGGTAACTTGTATGCAACACTTCCTTACATCTTTCTGAGATTTGACCACCAAGCCATTTTTCGTATACTTCTTGGACATTTTTATCATTCTCTGGTAAAGATGACTTCAGAGAATTATAAAGTTTGGCAACTTTTTCTATTAACTCTTTTGATGACTCCTCTGGAGAAGGTCTGATCTGACCTCCTCCATTAATGCACCCTGACGGACAAGCCATGACCTCAACAAAATGATAGGGGCACTTGTTCCGTTTTAGTTTCTGCACTAGGTTTTGAATATTACGAAAGCCATAAGCAAGAGCAAACTTCAGGACAGGTTTATCTTCATGTTCGAGTACAACTTCTTGAAAGTCCTTATTTCTCATTGTCTTGTATGTAAGATCTTCAACTTTTTTCCCAAACAGTGCTTGTGCAGCATAACAGAAAACATGTTCAAGGTAACCCCCAGATCCACCACCTCTGTGATTGGTAATTTCAGAATCCTTTCCGGTTTCAATCATTTCATCCAGTTGAAGTGAGCTAAGCTTGGGAAGTCGATCGCCTTTTCTTCGAACATTTGCTCAACCTCAAGGGAGGTTATCACACAGTCTACATCGCGAGTGTGGTATATATCATTGTAAAAATCTTCTCTGGAGGCTTCTAACTTCTTATCATAGCAAGGCATGACCGTCACATGGTACACTTTATCTGGTGATTTCCCAACTCTGCTTCCCAGATACTCTTTTACCAGACTCCCCATGACCTGTTGTGGTGACTTGGTGCTTATGAACGGCAATATAAACTGCCCGTGGGTTTTCTCGGCGTAGCAGATCCAACCAGGGCACGCCGAGGTTAGCAGAGGAACATTTTTGGTTGGATTCGGGTTATTACGATATCTTTCAACAAATTCCTTCTGAATTTCAAGCAAACTGAAATTCCGTGCAAAAGTTGTATCGAAAACATAATGCACTCCTAAATCTTTGAAAAATCTTGTAAGTTTTAGAGCTGTCTCTTTATGCCCAGGTTGAAGTTGGCTGCAATGGACGCTCTAGATTGAGGTGAGATACTAACAACGATTAACTTTTGTTCAGTTTCGGCTAGCTGGGCATTCTCTTCGATGATTTTATACAACTCATCTTGGCTTTGTTGTGTGATTAGTACACTCTCTGCCGAAGTAATGCAACCGCTGCATGCAAGGCAATCATTTAACGTGATTTTTGCTTTCTCTAATTTCGTTTTACTGCCGGCATTTAGTTGATAATAACTGCCATCATCTTCGACCTTGATTTTGGCAACCCCTCCTTCTCTTTTTCAATCTTTACGGGCTTGACGCATTCTTGTGAGGGTGTTATAAAGTCGTCTAGATCAGTCAATTGCAGAACACCACTAAATTTCGCCATTTTGGGATGAACTTTTCAAGCTACCACTTCGCAATGGTTTCCTTCTTTCCTTTAAAATTTCTCTGTCAATTTGTCCACGTATTCCCGGTGCTTGATTCAAAATTATCCCACTCTACTTCGGCAATACATTAACCCATTTAAGAACACAATGCTTTTATTATTGC